GCAACCCTCAGTTTGCTTCCTGAGATTAAGAATTCCTCATATCAGTGAGGTCATATGATACATGTCTTTCTCTGATTGACTTATTTCACTCAGCATAACACCCTCCAGTTCCAACCACATCGTTGCAAATGGCAAGATCTCGTTCCTTTTGATGGCTGCATAATATTCCATTGTGTATATATACCACATCTTCTTTATCCATTCATCTGTTGATGGACATCATGGTTCTTTCTACAGTTTGGCTATTGTGGACATTGCTGCTATAAACATTGGGGTACACGTACCCCTTCGGATAAGGGCTTGGAATTCTTATTTTATTGTTACCTGTGTTTTCCACAACGAATGTGTTCCTCCTCTACTTTGCCAAAGAAATCGAGGCCATTGGCCTGAACTGGCTTGAACTCGTGTTGCCTTCTCTCCTTGATGTCCACACCCATCTCTGTATCCACATCCACCTTCCCCCTCCTTCCCTCCAGAATCAGAGACCAAGGCAAACTCTCCTGCTGTGTCCTTACTGTCGTTGTGTTCTTCCTCTGCCTAATAGGTAGAACTGCTCTATTAATACATTACAGAGCTGAGATCAGCAGCAATACTCTTGACAAATAAAAATAGCTCAAGAAATGGTAATGATGATATGGTTTGGCCTTCCGTTGCCTCAGTTTCCTCATCTGTGAAATGGGGTAAGGATCGTACTCCCTCATCGAATTGCTACAAGCATTAAATGAGTTAGAGTTATGTTAAGCACTTAGAAGAGCATCTTGTACATAATAGGTAGTGTATAAACGTTTGCTAGTATTATTATTCCTAGTACCAATTAGTATCGTTTGTATTAGTATTAGTACATTCCTACATTTCTGCCAAAACCTTGATTCGTCAATTATGTCCCCCTCCCTCCCACATGTTAAACCTCTCTCTCTCTTCGGATTTCCTCCCTATTCAAAGCCAACTCTGTCCAAACCCCCACCCCAGCCTGTGATTTCAGTGACCTATCTCTCCCCACCCTTCAAGTCCAGGCACCTGGGGAAAGTGGGTTTCGAGATTCACTCCATGTTTGCTCACATTAGCTCACCATGGCTCAGGGTACAATGCAATCTGTGTCCCCTCCCGCCTCTCCAATGACCACAACTGGCCTTCTTTCACCAAATTCAAAGGACCCTATTCAGTTTTTATCTTTCTGGACCCTTCTTCCTTATCTGACCCACTCTTTTTCCTAAAACTTGTTTCCTCACCTCTCCTGTTCACTACCTTCTCTGGACTCTCGTCTCAGCCTCTGTGCCTGGATTCTTTCTCTCCACTCAGTCCTTACATGTTTGATGCTCCCAGGGGTCTGTCTGCAGCCACCAGCCCTCCTCATTCTGCTGGCCCTCCCCGGGGAAGCTTATGCACTGCCACACCACGTACCTACCGTCTTTCTCCTACACAACCAGATCTTCGCTGTGGCCCTGGCCTCTCTTCTAAGCTGTAGACCCAGATATCCTAGTACAAGCTGGATCATTATACCTAGGGGTCTCACAACGCTGTCCAAAATTAAACTCATCATCTTCTTAAATCTATGGGTCCTTCAGGGCGCCCTTTTTAGACACATCAAATGTCAGGTGGTGACTCACCAGCCCCATCCCCCAGGGGAGAGGCTCAGAAACGTCCTTGGCTTCTCCCTCCAGTCATGCCTCGGGTCCGGCTGGGTTCCTATCCCTGGCTTTTCTGAAGCCCATCTCCTTCTCTCCACAGGAGACGACGTCAGATGCAGGCAGTCAAAGCATCATCTCGGTCTCTCCGTCCACCCTCCTCCCAACCTTCTTCCTTTGGCACTCCCCTCTTTCTCCATTTACACATTCAGTCCATCCGTCAGTCAGTCAGTCAACAAACACGGTTGAACATCCACACTATGCTAGGCCCAAGGAATATAGAAAGGAAAAAGACAATGCCCCTGAGGGAGCTCAGGATTTAGGGGGGAGCCCCAGTGTCATGAAACAGGCACACACAAGGAACTCAAGAGTCGTCGTATCTGAACCGACATTCACGCAGATCTGGATTATTATGATTTTTACTGTAACAGTTCAAAGAAGTAAAGACACTAACATATCTTACATTTAAGCCTCCAACCCCCAGTTCTATCGAATTCTGACATGTATCTTTCCCTTGTATGTTTATACTGTGTAATATATATGTGTAACTATATGTAATATCCATGTTTTCAACTTCATGTAAAATGTATCACACTCTATATGTCATTTGACAAAGTGGTTTTTCTTCTTTGACATTACATTTTTAAGATTTTTCCATGTTTATACATGTAGCATTTTCACTGCTCTGTAGTATCCCCTTTATTTATTCATTCTCCAGTTGATGGATTTATAGATGATTTCCAGTTTTTCCCTAATATGAGCAACATTATAATGGATTCTCACCCATGTACATTCCTCCTTGTGCGCACGTGAGGATTTCTCTAGAAATTGAAGAGCTGAGGGACAAGCACATCTGATTTATTAGACATTGCCAAATTGCTCTTCAAAGTGATCATACCAGTTTACTCTCCCTCCAGCAGCCTGTGAGAATTTCTGTTTATCTACTCTACGTCCTTGTAAATGCTCGTAGTATTCCTTTTTTATTGTTGCCAATCTAATAGGTGTGTAATGGTATCTCAGGTGGTTTAAATTTTTATTTCCTCATTTATTAGTGAAGTTGCCCATTCAGATCTCCTTTTCTCTTAGTTGCCTCTTCATTCTCTAGGCATATTTCCCCGTTGTATTGTTGATCTCTTTCCTATATGATTTGTAGGATGTTTTTACAAATTGTAGATACTAATCTTTTGTCAGTTCTTTGTGTGGCAAATACCCTCCCCTGGTCTCAGCCTTGTCTTCGAGTTTATTTAAAATGTCTTTTTTGAAAAGACATTGTTTGTTTGTTTGCTTGTTTTAAAGAGAAGGAGAAAGGAGGGAGGGGCAGAGGGAGAGGGAGAAATAGAATCTCAAGCAGGCTCCACACCCAGCGCAGAGCCCGACATGGGGCTCGATCTCACAACCCTGAGGTCATGACCTGAGCTAAAATCAAGAGCTGGACACTTAACCAAGTGAGCCACCCAGGCGCCCCAAAAAAGACATTGTTCATTTAAAATAGGTAAAATGTGATTCATTCCTTTTATGATTTATTTTTGTCTCCTATTTAACGAATCATTACCTGCCCAAAGGTCATAAAGAACTCTCCATATTTCTTCTAAAAGTTTTAAAGATTAGCTTTCTGGTTATTTATTTTGGAGTATGGGACTAGGAATCTAATTTGATGTTTTTCTGTTTGGATAATCAATTTTCCAAGCATCACTTATTTTTAAAAG